GGAAGGCATATATCTTTCTAGAGTGGAGTCACACAAGCTTCATGTTATGCCGTAATAAATTGTTTGAAGCAATAAGAATCCCTCTGTTGATGAACTAGATATACATGTGAAATAATAGCATAACCTTCAAAATAGAATGAAACTTCCAATTTTCAAGGCTACCTTGCATCGCAATAAACTAATTATTAATTTATTATATACATTTTAAATTAATAAAATAACATTTCCATTAATATACATTTTGTCGTCTCTCATAATTCGACCACTTTCATAGGGTAGTTGGGGGACAGCAATGAACAATACACTTTCACTTGGTTGTTTCAAGGAGAAGTCTCACTTTCTCACTGAGAAGTAATTTAATCAGCTGATGGGGTTGGGTGTCAGAAATATTATTTATTTTTTTGGTTAAACAATATAACTTCATTTTCTTTCTGTTATTGATCCAACCTTAGTTTATTCTTAATTTTACATCATCTTAGTTCTTATATTTATTATAGTATTTTTAAATGCAAATTTCATTGTTAAATTAAAAAATTAAATTCAAATTTAGTATGCGCTACCATGGATATCTGACTATTTCTCAGTGGCAATGGTGTTAATTTTGCACGATTATGGCATCTTTATTCTTGATTGTTGGAATTTATTTCTAAATAGATTGCACGCAAACTTGAAGCAGTGAATCCAACAAAGCAGCCACTAAAATCTAGCCTACTTGATGGAAAATGGGAGCTGATATACACTACCTCAAGGTCAATTTTACAAACCCAGGTAAACATTTCTTTTGTCCCACTATAACTAATATCTTGGCTGCCTATGTTTCTGTCTGAGAGCATTTTCAATTGTCTGCTCTTTAAAATATTAAGATTACTTTTAATTCTTTTTTTAATTTTAAGAACAATAACTCCAGGAAATGGCTTTTTTAAAATGGGAGTTTTAGATTTATGTATATTTATAAATGTGTCGTTAGTATAAACTCCCTGATGATACTGTGTAGTTTTGAAGTTTTGCTTTCATTTATTTGTTTGACAATACTTGTTAGAAAGAACAACCATAAATGAAGTCATTAACTTCTATGGATCTAGTTTTCAACACTATGTACTGAAGAAACTCCAAAATAAGCATTTTTCATTTCTTCTGCAGTGCATGTTCCTGAGTTGTTAAGAATCTTACAGAGTGTAGCCCCCCAAAAAAAAAAATTCTACTTTCTAAAAATGGAAACTATTTTATGTTATTGCCACGTGTGACTCTCTAACTAATTATGTTCTGAATCTGAGTTATAGTTATATAATATGGGGAAAAAAATCACCTAAAGGCTCGTCTTCTATGCATAGATAGGAAAGTTAGAATTTGCTGCTTTTTGTTGATGCCTTCCCTTTTGATTTCCCCCCATTAATAAAGTCACGGGCGATTTTCCATACAAATGTTGCACTGACTTGGTAGCTAATGCAATGACAGAGGCCAAAGATTTTGAGATCAAGGACAAATTTTCAAGCAATCAATGCAGATACTCTGAGGGCTCAAAATATGGAGTCTGGGCCATTCTTCAACCAGGTAAGGCATTTTGAAGCTAAGTGGTTAGACATTTATGTGATTCGCTCATGTTTCTCTTAAAAAGAAATAAAAGATAATATTTTGTAGGTTACAGCAGATTTAACACCTCTGAATACAAGAAAAGTGGCTGTCAAATTCGATACTTTCAAAATTGCAGGTTTTGTAAGTTTTCTTGAGCCTCAATGCTTGCTTTGTATCCTGTATGTAGGAGCGAAATGTGTTTGCTAATTATTTAACAAGCTCCAAGGAAAACCACGCTCCGGTCAAAAAAAAAAAAGGAAAACCACACACATATTGCATTATCACCTTTTGAGCAAGTTGAATAGTCTCTGTCTAAATTTGGTATATCTTGGAATTGGTACCCTAATATAGATTAAAACTCTGCTTAAATTAATTTAAACTAAATATATTTTCCTCATGTGATGCACATGATGAATCACAACTTGAATTCTTGGAAGACTATATTATATTTTTTAAGCATTTTAATTCTGCGGAAAAAAAGTTGAGGGAGAAAAAACTGCGCAGAGCCCAATGAAATGTGTACAAAAATATTGAAATAATAAAAAAATTGCACTGAGCTTGAGATGAGTCGTTCTATTTATGACTTTAAATTGTATAACTTTCTATGATTATAAATGCCATGTTTTACCTATGCAGATACCTGTTAAGGCACCTGAAAGTGCCCGTGGGGAATTGGAAATAACATATTTAGATGAAGAGCTGCGGTGAGTTATGTGCCATATTTTATTTAATACATTTTCAACAATTGATTCACGTCCAGATTTCTTGTCCGTTGAGAAATATGTTCAGTGATAAGTCGGAAACCTCTTGAGGTGCAAGTAGTTAATTCTTCTTTTTGCAACATAAGTTCTCCTATATATGTAGACAAGCACTAAACCTTTGTTACCTCGTCTTCTCTCATCTCTACTTTGGATCGATGGGATATAAATATTATAATTACGATGATCATGCGAGAAGATGATAGGACTCCAAGTCAGCACATTAACGCACTAGAGAAGAAATAGGGAGACTGCAGTAGGGCTTGAGTCTGTTTGCATCTTTTTAGGAGAGTTGAATGAGTCTTTTAGGTTTTATTGATTTTATTAATTATTCGTTGAATAAGGGGACTTTAGGTTGTTAGAGGTCCACCAACGTCTCTTTCTGTTAGTTCCAAGATATTAGGGATAGTTAGTTAATTTTATATTTATTCAATTGTAATTTCTGCATTATAAATATGCTAGCCATCCTATAAGCTAACATATGAGAGAAATAAATATTTATTCAGTAAGTTGGAGATTCTCCTTCAGGCTACTAAATTTAGTGAGGTGAGATCCTTGCTTAAGTAAATCTTAGTATATTTTATGCCGGGCTATTAGTGAGTTGAGAGTGAGATTCTTGCCTCTAACAGAAGACAGATTAATATTAGTGATTTTGCTATTCTTTTGTCTGTCTCTATCCTCAAAACCATTACATAATGTGAGAATTTCAAGTCTTTTGTTGTAATATTAGGATTTCTAGGTGCTTATGATTCTCCTGATTTTTTGCTCTAAATTTATACTTTTTCCTTTCATGATTTGTTGCGTATTTAGAATATTTTACTTCCCCTTTTTGTTGATGATATGTCATTGTAACATCAAACTTGTTGCAATAATCCCTATTTATGGGTGTATCGCTCTTGAGTAGTATCATAGTATTATTATTCTTAACTCTTAAACGTCTATCAATACACTATATATAATATAAAATCTATATAAAATCACATTATTTATAAGTTATGAACAGCATAACTCATGTCGGATTCTTGTACAAAGCATGGGTGGCCTACTGTCTAAGGCATATATCAAATAGAAGTATTAATTGTACTTTTCTCCTCACGTCATATAACAGGATATCAAGAGGAGACAAAGGAAACTTGTTCATCCTGAAAATGGTTGATCGATCATACCGAGTTCCCGTATGATGCATCATCAGTGCTTGTGGCTCACTTGCTCCTTTCCTTTCCTTGGCCTCAAAACTGAATCTTTGCTTCCTAAGGAGAAGATTTATGTTCAAAATTTATACTCCTCCGGGTTTAGTGCAAGTATGACATTCAGAGATTGCTTTTTTCCGTTCAAAATACTATAAATTAATCAACTGAAAGTGGGCAGAAATCATTTGTATTTCTGCTGGTGTTTTCTTCTCTGGGAATGGGAAGTTTGGCTTCAGAGGAATGTATTTTGTTTGGCTCAAAGCAAATTGTTATACTGACATGAGTTTTGTATATGTTAAAATAATTAATAAAAAAGGGAGTCAACTGTGATGTTATCATACATGGACTCTGTTAATTCAGCCACTTGCTGATCCTATTTATCAGTACTTCAATAGTAGATGTGAGTGTAATTCACAGTTCAACATGTAAAAGTTAGACGATTATCCACTTGTTTTTATCCCAAACGCTAAACCAATGCCAAATATTAAAAGGCAGAAAAAAGTTCTTTTTTGTAAGCAGCTTTTTTGTTTTTTGGGGTCGATAAGCAATAATGTAATAAATTATATGCATGTGGACTAATGAGAGTCATTAATTTTTTTTTCGAGAAAAATTTGTTATTACATTCTTCCTTTTGTCATTATTACGAGGACCTTTTATTGCTAATAAAATTTTTAACTAATTAACTAAACTTTTCTATTTAATTATCTCTATTAAGGATATTTTTAAGAATTAATTAAAAAATAACTAATTTTAATTTATTTTTTTAAATCTACGTAAAATCATTAATTTGAGGTTACAACAAGAACAGGAGAAAGTGTGCGTATGAAACATAAATCTCGGTCTACATTTGCACTTGTACGGTGTACATGTAATATAGTACTCCAAAGTGAAAAAGTACGAAGTAAACACACTCTTCGCTTCAATTAAGGTTGACTTTTAATCGCAACACAATATTTTAGTGTGCTCTCAAAATTAACATAAAATATGCAATGGAAAGTGCAAAGTGTTAGTGAGAAAAAATCATTCTAATTATATGACCTTACTTGTAGTTTATAAATGAAGTCTTATAAATAGAAACGGATGTAATACTAGACTTAAAAAAAAACCTGAAAAATAAAAGCGTTTTTAAAGTAAACAAACTAAAATTTTTTATTAAAGACCAAATGAGCATTTTTACCTGCCCCGCACATTATATGGTTTCCGACCTTAACTCGGTGGCTAAGGAGAAAGAAACCCCTAATAAGCTCCCATCAAAACTAATGGTCTTATCCTACTCGCTAATTTTTTGGCTCCTTTTTTGGTACAAAAACCATTGGGTATTTCTGACGGTGAGGCTGAGAAAACTTATATGGGCTTCAAAGCCCAACACAAGCCCAATATAATTTATTGGACCTAGTTCAGCCCACTAATGACTAAAATTTCGATCTTTTCAACGAGCACTAGACATCGCGCGAAGACAACTGACTTCAATCCACTTCGTCTCTGCCGAAGTCTCGAAGAGGTGGAAATGGAAATATCAGTACTGGGAATTGGGTTACGGCATGGTATAGCCTTTCGCAATCCGCCAGTTTCTTCATCAATTTCTTCTGCATCTCCTTCCGCCACAAGAACAGTTCGTTTTCAGTGTAGTTCATCAACAGCGCTTACTGGGGAAATAGCTGGAACCAGCAATGGCGAACTGCCCACTGGTAGAACCACAATCGAAGTTCAGAGGCACCCACCGAAGCCCAGAACGGCAAGACAAGCTGCAATAGCTGAAGTTCAGCAATCTTCTGATTTGGACTCAACTCTTGCGAGGTATTCTACCTTATGGAAAGCCTTATCAGGTCGTGGTATTACTTTGTCACTGTATTTATTTCTAACGAGTATCGTTGTTTTTACTGGAGTTTGGTGAGTAGGTGTAAATTGTTTTTTTTCCTGGTTTATTTTGAGAACTAAAATTGTATTCTTGCTGGTTGCTTGCCTCAGTGTTTTAATTGCATTGAATATGAATAATGCGTACAAAATGCAGTGGCATCATTTATATATATATATATATAAATGTATAGCTGGCTACTTTCTCATGTGAGTCAAGCTTTTGCTTAGTTAATTAAACTCACTGTTTTTTTATTTTCAGAGTAGGAAAACTGCTGAAAGTGCAGGACCTAAATGCCATTTTACGTAACTTTGGACAGCTTAACAGATTACAAGACGTTACTCAGGTACTTTTACTTACAGATCATATATAACCCAAGAAAGTCAATCGTCATTAAATGACCTACCAGCTTAAAATTGGTTTATGGAATGAAGATAATCATTTATCTTTGATCTACTTTGTCCAAGAGTAAAAGAAGTAGCAAGAAACGGGAAACAGGATAGAAAAGGTAGTGTTGTACATGCACTGACCAATGACACATACACAGTTGCATCTAGAGTGTAATTTGCCCTTCCTGTAATTTTTCATGCTTGTAATACCTTGACCAAATATTGCAGCTCTTTGTATGGATGCAAGAAAGCAGGAAGCTTAATGCTTCATCTTACATCAGTTTCATAAAGTTCATGGGCAATAATCTTGACGCTTTAAAGGTTGTAGAAATATACAATAGCATTCAAGATGAAGCACCCAAGACCAATGTCTATCTATGTAATTCTGTTCTCAGTTTTCTTGTCCGGAAAGGCAAGTTTGATAGCAGCATAAAACTGTTTGAGAAGATGAAAGAAGATGGTCTAATGCCTGATGTTGTTACATATAGCACGGTATGTGATTCTAAACCTTAAGAGACTGTCATATATTGGTGAAAATGAATTTGTTTGTGATGTGTGGAATCATCGTTTTATCTTCTACCATCATTGGTTCTTTCTGGCATTCCTTCAGCATGCATGAAGATGTGACTGTAGAAAAGTGGAGAAGTGTTTTTCTCTTTTGGATGCAGCTAGAATATTTCCCATGCTATTATTATTCTCAATTTATTTTTCAACCGAAGTATTTATCTTTTTTTTTTTTTTTGGTGTTACATACATCTATAGATAAACTTATCAGTCACTGTTGTGTGGTGGGCCAAACAGCTTTCTGGAGAAGTTAATTGTTTAATGGTTTTAGTTTTGTACCGCAACACATGATTTCTTTTATGTTTGTTGCCATCTTATCATGGTTATTATCCTTAGCTGTTGGCAGGTTGCATTAAAGCCAAAGATGGATATTCTAAAGCACTGGAGCTAATTCAGGACTTGCAACTCAAACGGCTGCGAATGGATGATGTAATTTATGGGGCAATTCTAGCGGTATGTGCTTCCAATAGTAAATGGGAAGAAGCAGAATTCTATTTCAACCAGATGAAGGATCAAGGTCTCTCTCCAAATCATTATCATTATAGCTCTTTGCTTAATGCTTATTCAGTATGTGGAGACTACAAAAAGGCTTATGAATTGGTTCAGGATATGAAATCTGCAGGGTTAGTACCTAACAAGGTTTGTTTTTCTCTTGTTATTGATCTTTTATAGGATGGTATTTTACAAGTAGCATGCTCCCGCTGTAGCTATTTATTGCTGTACTTTTGCTTGCTTGACAGTCTTTTTTGCCATGCCACAACTCGCAATATACAGAGGAAATTTTTTAAAATATTTTTAATAAACATATATCTTGCTATTCCATGCAGAAATAGACATCCATCCAGATTGCTATTGACTTCTCTTACTTGTTCACCGATAAGAAAAATCTTTTATATTGTTGCCGCTTTGTTTTCTATCTTTTCTTGTTTTTAATATAGCAATGCTTCACTGAATTTGATTTATATTGTAAAAAATAATCGCAGGTCATTTTGACAACCTTACTGAAGGTATATGTTAGAGGAGGCCTATTTGAGAAGTCTAGAGAGTTATTAACAGAACTGGAATCTTTGGGCTATGCTGAAGATGAGGTAATAAGACGAAAAATATAAGAATTGATTGCTTTAGTTGAATCTGACTGTTTACCTAATTATGGTCTATAGTCTATACATCTGAGCATTGCTAATACTTAGTTGATGTTGTGAAATTCACTTATCATATAATAATTAATATATCCTTCTTTGAACCTTTTTCTTTGTCTATATTTTCTCACTTGACGATTGTGAATGTGCATGTATGTGTGCGTGCAGATGCCCTACTGTTTGTTGATGGATGGGCTTGCTAAGGCTGGCCAACTGCAAGAAGCTAAACTACTGTTTGATGAAATGAGGAAAAAGCATGTTAGATCTGGCAAGTTTTCTTTCAGTGTTTGATCTTGCTCAAAACAATTTCTTAAATAGATAATGAATTTTTTATTTGATTGTTCTGGATGCAGTAAGGGGTCCATGAATTTTCACATACTGCTGCGTGCAAAATTTTAATTTTCAATTGCCAAACATCCATGTTAACTAGTTCTCTCTTAATGGCTTTGGCATATTGTGAAACTCTTTTCTTTTCCTTCTTTTTCTTCTTCTTTTCCCTTTTCCGTTATCTTCTTCTATGGTCTAATATGATTAATGAAATTTAGTTGCTTCACAGAAATCAATGGTCAGGTCATCCTATTCTCTACATTTGGAAGCTTTACTGGATCTTTGTCTTAATTTGTAATTGATTATACAACCTTGTTGAATGAGCTTATCTAATCTGTTTTTCTTCACCATTATTTGCTGTTGTTTTATAATTTGTGCAAGGCAAGCAAATGTTGGATTTTAATCTTTCATGTGCCATTTTTTTTATGTTTGATAAAAATATGTGCTGATTTTTTTTTTTTTTGGATGCTCTATCATTATGTAATTTTATTTCCTAAATGCAGATGGTTATGCTCACAGTATCATGATATCAGCATTATGCCGAAGCAAGCTTTTTGATGAGGCAAAACTGTTGGCAAATGATTTTGAAGCAACCTTCAATAAATATGACTTGGTTATGATGAATACAATGCTGTGTGCTTACTGTAGAGCAGGTGAAATGGAAAGCGTAATGCAAACACTAAGAAAGATGGATGAATTGGCAATCAGTCCTGATTACAATACATTCCATATCTTAATAAGATATTTTTCAAGGGAAAAGATGTATCTGTTAGCTTATCGAACCATGAAGGACATGCATAGTAAAGGTTATCAACCAGCGGAGGTATGGTGTTATTGAATCTACTGACGCTAGTATTGACATTGATTCTCTTGTTCAATCGAGCTTGTCTTCCTCAGCAGACTATAATCTGTCCTTTGTTCCTATCAATATAACATACAAAAACTCCGGCTGTTCACACTAATGCAGTTCATACCTCAGATCCTGTGCAATGCATGGGTTTACATTTAGTTATTTGTAATTACAGCTACGGGTTAGGTCATCCCGTAGGCATACGTGGCCCAGCTCATTTGTCTTTCCTTTGGACCAATGAAGTTAAATCAAAGCCCAAGCACTGGGCCTATTCTCTTGTTATGCCTCCTTCTTCATGTTTCACTCAATTTTTTTTTTAAAAAAAAAATGAAACATGATAATAATGTAATTGTTGGGCAGAAATGCTACCCGTAGACTAACACTAAATTGGTCATAAAACTTATTTCCTTTTTAGGCTTCTGACCAAGATTGCGTGAAAGTAGTGTTGCAATGATTTGATTTGAATAAGCTGAGAATGCTTCGTTTAGTATAAATGATTCGTTATTTTTTTAAAACAAATAAAATTTATATGCTTTTTTGTTTGCCTCATTTTATCATTTGAGTTGACTAATTAATATTCCTGATGCCTTTGTCTCTTTTTTAGGAGCTTTGTTCCTCTTTAATGTCTGATCTTGGCAAGGTAAAAGCTTACCCAGAGGCATTTTCTGTTTACAATATATTGAGATACGGCAAGAGAACAATGTGCAGGGCACTTCATGAGAAGATTCTGCACATTCTTCTAGCAGGACGACTTTTAAAAGATGCTTATGTAGTGGTCAAGGTATTCCAAGATTTTATGATGAATCTCCTCTGGTTTTCTCATGGAATTGCAGTTCTCATGATGAATCTTCTCCTGTACAGGATAATGCAAAATTCATCTCTCGGCCTGCCATAAAAAGATTTGCAGCTGCCTTTATGAAATTTGGTAATATCAACATGATAAATGATGTTATGAAGACCCTCCATGGTTGTGACCACAAGGTTGATAAGGTAAGCCAGCATCTTAATATGTATGCTCAAATATTTCTGTCTTGGAATGGAAATTACGGCTGGTTCATAATTTCATGTCCTTGATTTTCTTTGCATAACAGCACTTGTACTGTAGAACCTTTGAGCCAAATCCTATGTATGAACAATAATAAATGACCTCATGCCAGTTTGAGTGTTAATCAAACAAGCTGATCAATTTTGAGTCCAAGTTCTGGTTTTGTGCTCCACAATTAGTCATACAGTGCTTTCTTTTTTGTTTGTTTTCCACTCTCCTCAGGATTTATTTCAGACTGCTGTATCCCGGTATATAGATCAACCTGAGAAGAAGGACTTGCTTCTTCATCTACTGCAATGGATGCCAAGTCAAGGTTACGTTGTTGATTCATCAACTAGAAATCTCATCCTCAAGAACTCTCACTTATTTGGTCGCCAGCTCGTTGCCGAAGTTCTGTCCAAGCAACATATTAAATTAAAAGAACAAAATTCACCATAAGGTGAAGCATTCAAAAATTTTGACATTGAGGAGTTAGTCACTGCTAGATTTCAATGCTTAAGCTTCTTAACGCTGATGTTAGTCCTTGTATCTGAAACGTACATTCCAGTAGATACTTTTCTCCCATCTTCAACTGGATTCTGGTTTAATAGCCTATGTACAGATAAACTTGAATGTGGATGATAATTGTATATGAAGTATATATGTGTTGTTTCAAGTTAAGATGCTGTAATTTATTCTCAGGCTCATAAGCTTTTCCGTGCAAGGCTTCCATCTGTTGGCCAACACCTGTTTGTCTGACACTTTTTAAGAAAAGTGATTCTTATATTGATGATTTGAATTTTATTTTAAACTGATAGAAAAAGGGAACAATAAGATCTGTGTCTTCGAAATTCAAATGAAAATTTTAAATGAAATTTTTATCCTTCACTTTTAAATATGTACTTTCATGGAGAAAACTAAATTGAAGTTTTATTGCACTGAATTTATTGATTCTTTTATTCTCAAAATTATGTAATTATGATATGAGGAAACAAGGACCCTCCCTCTCCCTGACAGCTCAAATTCGTGATAGGTTTCAGTCCTTCCACCACCTTCTATTTTAAGCCTTGGGGGGAGTTTGGATACCCTTCAAATCATTTTAAAAAAATGCTTTCAACAAAACTCCTCTCTCAGATATTCATCTCGTATACTTTGGGATAATGTACTTCCTTCGGTTCATAATATAAGATGTTTGTTACAAAAAAAATCGTGGTCCAAAATATAAACCATTATTAGGATAATTGATGTGATTTTTTTACTTTTATTCCTATTAAATTAGGGGGGAGGAAAGACATGCGAAATAATGAAAGTGTAATATTAAAGAAAATTTTATCACTTTTTAAGGGTAAAATAGAATTATATTTTAGGACATATTTCATCACTAAAATTTTATTTTTTAGTATATGAGAAAAGTTAATTAACGTCTTATATTACGAACAGGATGGACCATTAAATGTAGTTTTATTTATAATGTACTACATTCGGTTTTAATTATAAGATTTTATTTATAATTTATAAACAAGATTTTATAATTAGAACCAAAAGTACTATCATGATAAATTAATACAATGTATATTATAATAATCACAAAACCATTGGATAATGTGTCTCATGTAAATAAATGGTGGAGCCGTCCAAGTGCACGTGAGTTCATGCTTTCAGTGCACAAATCTTGATTATTTTCGGGCACTCAAGATACTTTTTGTCGGCTTTAAACTTAAAATAGAATGAGTAATTTATAGTAATATTCATATTTATATATTCTTTAAATTTTGGGCGTAATAATGATGTGTATCGAATCATACATCATATGATTTAATTATTTCCGTAACACTCATTAATGGATGGCTTTTCATCTTTCTTTCTTTTTTTTTAATAAATGTTCAAAAAATGATAATTTTTTTTAATATAAGGATGATTGATTTTTTTTTAAATTGCTCCTTTTTTGTAAGAGCTGGACTGGTGGTTTGGTTTATTAATTTTCTGATCTAATTGATAGCTGGTGCGGTCCAATTTTTAAAATCAAAACCCTCAGCATGAAAGAAAAAAAATACAGTTAACTAATTTAAGGAAATTAAAAAAATTATTAAATTATTTTAAAATATTTATATTCATTATTTTTTCTCAACTAATTTTTCTCATTTATAAATTGATATACAATAATACACAAAAATATTTTTAGAGAAATCATGTAATGTAACATATGTTATAAATAAGTAATTTACTAACTTAATTTTTTAATCTGTCTAAATTAATCAACTAGGTCTTATATTGAAGATTATAGATAGTATATAATTAAAAAAATTAAGGAAAATATACACAAGGAGAAAGTTAATGTATTAATGTTTACGCTAAGCATGTGCAAGTTAACAACTAAGATTCTCCGACAAATAATGCATTACAAATTACAAGTTGTGTGAGGTATATATGATATTAAAAAGATTAAGATAGACTGTATGCTTTACAATTTACAAATTATATGATATTAGATAGATTAAAATACACTAACTACCCTTCTCTTTTACTTGAATTATAAAAACTCCCTTCTATTTCAAAAATACATATTTGAGAAGTTGAAATTAAAATATGTATGTCACATATATTTTTCTTATATATTTGAAATTTTATTTTTATTCATCGAAACATAAGGCTTTTTTTAAAATAAAGAACAATACATGAATATTAAAGTCCCAGACCATGAAGATCAAGTAGCACATTGATATATATATAAGCTCTAATTCTTTCATTAAAGTTTCCTATAAGGAAAAAAGAAAATAGAAAAATTTGACGAGTTTTGTTGACGAGTTTGACTGCGCGTTGTCATCTGTGCCGCAGGCGCACCACTTCTCCGTATTATGATAATCATATTAAATTTAGGTCAAAATATATATTTGATTCTTTAAATTTATATAAGGTTTCAATTTAGTCCCTTAACTTTAAAAAATATATTTTTAGTTCTTTAACTCTAAAATTATTAGTCTTAAATAATGATGATTTTTTGTAACAATCATGATTGTTTTGAATATTAAACTTAATATGTTAGCATTTAGTAATGTTTTATCATCATTCATGAACTCAATATCATCATTTTTTGTTAACAGTTTTACTGTTAGAGAGTTAAAAGTTTACTTTTTAAAGTTAAAGGACCAAAATGAAACATTGTTAAAGGACTAAAAGTATATTTTAATCTAAAATCTATTAACCAAAACAGTAAACTAGTAAATCAATTTTCTAACGAGTTTGCTTAAAATATTTTGATGGGTCAACTTCATTGGATTTTATTTTATTTTTCCTTTTCTTACTGCACTTAAAAGCACGTTGTTTTGAGTTAAAAAAAAGCAGTTAGTTAGATTTATACGTTAATAACTCTATTATATTACACTTCATATAATTTATGTATAAATGTGGATTAATAATAATGCTTTTTTATTCAAATATCACTTTTTTCAAGGTCATGTACACATATTTTTACATATTTCAATTACATTATTGGGTTGATCATGATTCAATTACAATTAGATCGCTGTCTCAATCAGTTTAATACGGTTCATTTTTCATTTCATTTTATAATATTCAAAAAAGGCAATTTTTTGTTAATATTTAAATGGAAACCAAACTATAGTTTTAAAAGTGTTTTTACAGTTTACAAAATAAATATATAAAAAAATTTGTTTCGTTTTACGAAAAAATAATTTTAAGAAGTAATTCTTGTTACCAAACACCCCGAAAGTAGCTCTCCCATAAATGAGATGTTACGACTTGTGACTTCAGGCCGCATCAGTGCTTATCTTTTAATTTAAAAAACCAAGGACAATTTTCTACTGTTTTGGGTTGTAAATAGAGTTCTTGGATTCTAATTCCAGTGATCTGATTCTGATGAATATAATGTCGCGTTGCTAATTAATTATTTTAGACCAATAGCAATTAATTTTATTTGTTTCTGATGCGTGGGCCCACATCAAGTTGCTTATATGATATTCACAAGGGGCAATGAGGCATTGCCAAATACTGATTAAATTATCACTATTGTTATTATAAATAGAGGATCCAGCCACTCCATTTCTCAGATCACTGAGCTTGCTTGCTTCCTTTCCACATGGCTTCCAGCTTTCAATACCTTCTTCTTCTTCTCCTCCTCTTCGCTTCTTCTTCTTCTTCTTCTGCTAAACTCTCTTTCAGACCCAAAGCCCTCGTACTTCCTGTCACTAAAGATGACTCCACTCTCCAATACATTACTCACATTCACCAGAGAACCCCACTCGTACCCCTCAACCTCGTCCTTGATCTAGGCGGCCAAAATCTCTGGGTCGATTGCGAACAGCACTACACCTCCTCCACTTACCGCCCTGCACGCTGCAACTCCGCCGTCTGCTCAGCCGCCGACTTCTGGCACTGCGCCCAATGCTTTGAGCCTCCCAGGCCAGGCTGCACAAACAACACCTGCACCCTATTGGCGGACAACCCCCTCGACGCCACCATTGCCGTCAGCGATGTCGGCCAAGACCTCGTCTCCGTCCAGTCCACGAACGGATTCTACCCGGGTCAAAACGTCTCCGTTTCCCGGTTCGTATTCGGATGTGCACCAAATTACTTATTGAGGCAACTCGCCGACGGAGCATCCGGCATGGCCGGTCTCGGTCGAACCAAAATCTCTGCTCCTTCTCAATTCTCTTCCGCATTTAGCTTTCCCAGAAAATTCGCCATTTGCCTCGCTTCACATTCAAAAGGTGTTGTTTTCTTCGGTGACGGCCCTTACGTTCTTCTTCCCGACGTCGACGCCGCTAAATTTCTTATTTACACACCCCTCATACTCAACCCAGTAAGCACAGCTTCCATTCCCAGAGAAGGAAAGCCTTCGTCGGAGTATTTCATCGGAGTAAAATCCATCAAGATCGAGGACAAAGTTGTGCCCAATATCAACAAAAACTTGCTGTCCATAAACAAGGAAGGTTTCGGTGGGACTAAGATAAGTACATTGAACCCATTCACAGTTCTGGAGTCGTCGATCTTCAAGGCGGTGACGGAGGCATTCATCAGTGCTAGGAACTACACCAGGGTGGTTGGTGTGGCTCCCTTCGAAGCGTGTTTCAGCAGCAACGGCATCGGCAGCACGCGGTTGGGTCCGGCGGTGCCGACCATCGAGCTTGTGCTTCAGAATGATGCGAGTTGGTCCATTTTCGGAGCGAACTCGGTGGTTCAGGTAAAGGACGATGTGATGTGTCTTGGTGTAGTGAACGGAGGTGCCAAGCCGAGGACTGCGATTGTGATCGGAGGGTTTCAGTTGGAGAACCATCTTGTGCAGTTCGATTTGGCTTCTTCTAGATTAGGGTTCAGCCCTTTGCTGTTTTGGAGGAGGACTACGTGTGCAAACTTCAACTTCACCTCCGCCGCAGGAACCGCCGCCGTTCTCCGCGACGATCTGAATGCAGAGTTTGAAAATAAAATGTCGTTTTCTGTGATTGAGTAATTGATGGGACCAGACCGGTTGTGTTTTGTTGTACTTGGCTGAGCTGAATCACTACTTTTAGTTTTGATTCGCAGTTAATGCCAATTTATGTATCAAGGTCATTTTGTCTTGTTTTTCATAATAACGTGTCCTTTTCTAATTTCTACCATTAATTAATTAATGGGACTAGCTTGCGTTTGTTTTGTTTTACCAATATATCTATTTGGTCTCTAGTATAAATCAGTTGGGGAAAAACATTTGTTCCTAAATATAAGTCACTTATATTACAAACAAAGCACTTGCATAAAAAAAAATTGTAAAAACACTATAAAATATTGTCTCGCATTTAGGATGGGAAGAGAGAAGAGTATATCGAATCTTAATGAGTAACTGATCATCTTAAGAAATAAAGTGCCTATATAACCAAAAATATTGCAATAACCTATCAAAAGAAAGCCCTAGCGTAGCCTCCTTCCCAGCTCCCCATGTTTTCTCTCTTTTTTCTGTTGTGGCTTTCCCTTTTATAATTGCATAGCGTGGCCTAAATGATGAAGATAAGAATTTGACATGGGCTCATCACTAGGAGAAATTGAAAATAATATAATGTTCACCCTAATTAATAAGCATGTACATAGATGCAAGTTAATAATTGAGATTCTTTGACAAATACGCTTTACAAGTTGTGCGACATATATGATATAATTAAAGAACGAAAAAAGATAATGTTTTTAAATATAATAAATAATATTTGCATCTTGAAAATGATCAAAAAAATATAACAAGTTGACTTCATATGTTGTGAAGTAAAGTATTAATTCTGGCACTTAATATAAGAGTTAGATAACTAATTTGAAAATATTAAACTAATATAATTATTTTTTGGTGGGACCCCTTTAGAGTTAATAGAGCATTGTAGGGAGGAAAATTATAAATTTAGAGACAAAGTAAATTAGGATCTTATATTTGGGATCAAATATAATCTTTAACTAACTTTTATATGAGAGACCGGAGGTATTAGATAGTCTGTTTTCTGACTGATTAAACATAAGAGCTTTCTTTCTTCAAGACCCTAATACAAGATGATTGGAGCTTAGGATTTTTAAAGCTATACATATGTGTATATGTTAAAATCAGAATCATTCAAACACTTAGCAAAGCCTTTTTAAAGGAATTCAACTTTCACCATTGTATTTTCATGGACGAGAACAGAAGTTTTATTGCATTGAATTTATTTATTTATTTTATTGTCGAACTTATGCAATCACTATATTTTGGGGTCAAATTCGTGAGAGGTTTTAACCCCCCCCCCCGCCTTCTACTTCTAGCATTAGACCAAATAAAGTATTATTATATAATGTATTATAATAATTAATATAATATAGATTAAAATAGCCTCAAACCCATTGGATTAAAATGGCTCATGTAAATAAAATATGATAGAACCGTCCAAATTGAAGTGCATGCGAGTTCATACTTTCAATGCACAAATATTGATTCCATTTCCCGTGCAATTTTCAACCATTAAAGCTAGTTTTTGTCGGCTTTATACATAAAATAGAGGTAGTAGTTATTCATAATATTCATACTTATATTTTTTATTTTTTTAACATAATAATCATGCATATATAATCGAATAATACATGATATGATTTAGTTATTCCATAATCCAGAACACTCATCGAAGGATATTTCTCATCTCCCTTTTTTAAATGTTCAAAGTGAGTAAGTTTTATCGATATTTAATATTAAAGTACCTTTTTTGGGGGGGGGGGGGGGAGTAGGTATTTACGAAAATTTCTTTATTGGTTTTTTACGGGAAGGCGAGGTGGTTGGAAAGATTTTGTCTGGTGAAGAAATTTTTTGTTTGTTTCTGATAAAATTTAGTATATCAATGAAATCCATCCATTACGGGAACAATTGTACTTTAAAAGTTGAGTATGTTTTATTCAGTAATTAATATAAAAATTAGTTGACCAATTTAAGTAGATTAAGAAAACTTATTAAGTTAGTTATTTATAATAAACATATGTTATCTTTCTAGAATAACTTTATTAATAATGTGTATTAGCTAAAACTATAATTTGATGGAATTTTTAACATGTGTGCAACTACTATAAGGACTACTTTGAAAAAATAGATCAATATAAGACAAAGTGGATTGAAGTATTATATTTAGAATTAGATTGAATGTCAAATTAACTCTTATATTAAAGACCAGAAATAGTATTAAAAATGTGATGTTGTAAATTTAAATTTTGATAATTTAAGCTTAATTATTTTTTATTATACATCATTATTTTAAAAAAATCATGTCATATTTGTTATAATTTATTTATTTAATGTATATAAATTAATTGAGTAGTTCTTATATTAAAGACTTAAGAAATATCTTATATATTAGTACTCCTCTGATCCTAAATATAAGACCCATTTTGTTGTGTAATTTACATTACAAAATGAGTATTATATTTAGGATTTACATGGAGGAGTTGAGGGAGCACATTTCATGCTTATTGCAATGATGAGCATGGAGTGCTCATCTTAATTTAGACAATTACATGGATTTTGAAGGATTCATATTGAATTTAAATTTTTTTATTTTTTTAATTAATTTTTTTAATAGTAAAAATAATTTTATAACTAACAATTTTTCAAAAATAAATTTATCATTAAAAAATTGCATATTAAAAATTTTAAATCTAAATCATTGATATCAACTGTAAATGATTTATACTACATTATAGTGATGAGTAGGCCAGTAATTGATTATCCTAACAAATAAAGCGCTTATATGACCAAAAATATTGTAAAAATACCCAGCCAACCCACAAATATAAAGCCGCATTTCGCAAAAGTGCGGACCGTGGCCTGTAGGAAAAAGGAATGTACGAGGAGAATGTGCAATTTAACAATTGATGAGATTCTCCGACAAATATGATTCACAAGTTGTCTCACATATATAAATGATATAAATAATGGAAAAAATGATTTTAAATGTAATAAATAATATATGGATCTTGAAAATGAAAAGAAAATTAGGCTAAAGTATACATTTGGTCCTTTAACTTTATACAAGGTTTCAATTTAATTCCTTAACTTTAAAAAGTATACATTTGGTTCTCTAACCTTAAAATCATGCATTAGGCTTCAATGACAATTTTTTGTAATAATTATAGATTCTTTGAAAATTAAAATTAATATGTTAGCATATGAGAATGTCTTATCAACATTTAAGATTTTAATATCATCATTTTTTTAAAAAAAAAATTTTAAGGCTAAAAGATTAAAAGTATACTTTTTAAAGTTAAGGGATCAAATTGAAACCTTATACAAAGTTAAGGGACCAAATGTATATTTTAGCCAAGAAATTATAACAAGTTGACTGCATGCTGTGGGGTCAAGTGTTTGCACTTTCATGCGAATCTATTTTTCTTAGTTATAGGTTGAATAATTGGAAGAAACAGATCATCGGAGTTAAACGTATACAAATTTTTATGGGTCAGTCACATAAGAAAACAAGTATCACATTTGTCAAAAGAAATTTCTATACGTCAACTCTTCCAATCACACTTATTGTTCAATAGTGTAGTTTCTCATAAAATTTAGGTACTATTACTTCCTCTTCTTAATATAAGAGTTAGTTAAAGATTCAATTTAGTTTTAAATATGAGGTCCTAATCCACTTTATCTTCAATATTCATCCATTTTGCCCTAAAATAATCTCTATATGATGATTGCACTTGTTGAAGAAGTTAGTGTCAATGAGTAATCAAAATGCATCTGACTAGAAATTAACATATTAAATGACTAATACTTGAAAGATTGGAGTGGATGAGTTAATTTTCGGAAACTAAATTGTAATTGAATCAAAATTATAAGGATTAAATAATTTATTTTTTCTTATATTAATATTGATGATTTGAAATTAATTTAAAACGATAGGAAAGAAAGGAATTAATAAGATCCATATCTTCAAAATAAATATAATTCAAATGACATTAATATCCTTAAGCTTCAATTAGTGCAATCTCATGGAGCAAAACCCAAAGTATTATTGCATGCACTGAATTTATTTATTTATGGATGAACTATACACTTAGTTCTTTAAGTTCGCATCAAGTTTTAGCATTTGTCTCTTAAGTTCATAAATCGTTTTTTTTTTTTTTTGGTGATGAACTAGGGTATCCATATTACCACAATAGTAGTGACCAATTTCTTCACACCATAAACTTCTCAAAGAGGCTTTAATTATTCCCTTAATTTTAACATCGTTAATTTTATTTAACAAAAAATGTTGAATTTGTAATTAAATATTGACAATGCATGCTTATAATCATTTTTACAATATGAGATTAAAATAAATATAGGATGTTTATTTTAATTTTAAAATATAAAATTAATTGTATTAAATAATTAAAATAAAAATAAACTTATTGAGTACAAGTTTATTATTATTTTAAAATAATAAAAATGGCTATATAAGCTTAATTTTTCACTACTTAATTGTACAGTTATAAATTAAATTTACAAAGTAAGTATTTTTCGTTAAACGAGTTTAATGATGTTAAGATTAAGAAACTGAAGATATATTTTATAAAGTCACGAAACTAAACTAAAATTTAAAATAAATTTAAAGGATGGAATGAACATTAAATTTTTATTTTTGATATTTTTAAATTGTCAAAATTATGTAATTATAATAGGGAAAGCAAGGATATTGACAGCTCAAATCCACCAGATCAGGTTCTAAACCCTTCAACGCTCCACCTTCTATATATTATAGCCTTAGAGATAATGTATCCAATAAGTATTATATGTAGTAATGTATTATAATAAAATAATTAAATTAAATTAATCACATTAGCCACAAAACCATTGGATTGTGTGTCTCATGATGTAAATAATGCCTTTCAAATGCATGTGAGTTCAAACTTCCAATACAATATGCACAAATCTTTATTCGATCTCCTATGCTATTTTCAAGCACTCAAGCTACTTTTTGTTGGCTTTAAACTTAAAATAGAAGGAGCAATTTATAATATTCACACACACACGTGTGTGTGTGTGTGTGTGTGTGTTAGCACAATAATAATGTGTGTCTAATCCTATATCATGTGATTTAATTATTCCATAACTTTTACCAAAGGATACTTCCCATCTGCCATCTCAT